AAACGAGGTAAAGTCCAATTCGGCGTGAAAATGCGTTTCGCGCGTGCCAGCTCGAGGAAAGTCGACCCCCCACCTCGGATCCTTAATAAAAAACAGGGTCCGCGGACCCCCGTTTTCCACGATAAAAAAAAAGAGTTGAAGTCGAATTCGGCTCAGAAAGTGCGTCTCGGGCGTGCCCGCTCGAGCAAAGCCGACCCCCCTATCTCGGATCCTCGATAAATGACGGGGTCCGCGGAACCCCGTTTTCTTCTATAGAAAACGAGGTAAAGTCCAACGCGGTGCGGAAAGCGTGAACATGTTGACTTTTTGCGTGCCCGCTCGAGGATGGTGCGCCCCCCGCGCCAAAGCATCGAGCGAGCGAAACGCTTGTTTTGCAAAACTTGAGGGACCTGGGCGCCCCAGCATGCCCCAGGAGGCCCTGGGAGCGTGGAGGCGGCGTAATCTACGAGGGATCGTGGCGTTTGGAGCGCGGACCACGCGTAATTTGCGAGGGATCGTGGCCCTCGGAGCGCGGGCGCAGCGTAATTTACGACGGGTCGGGGCCTTGGGAGCTCGGTCGCAATGTAATTTACGAGGGATCGTAGCCCTTGGAGCGCGGGCGCAGCGTAAAATACGAGAGATCGGGGCCCTGGGGGCTCGGACGCAGCGTAATTCACGAGGGATCGTGGCCCTGGGAACGCGGACGCAGCGTAATTTACAAGGGGTCGGGGCCCTAGGAGCGCGACCCCATTGTAATTTGCGAGGGATCGTGGCCCTGGGAGCGCGGACGCAGCGTAATTTACGAGGGATCGTGGCCCTGGGAGCGCGACCCCAGTGTAATCTACGAGGGATCGCGTCAGTGGGAGCGCGGACCCTCAGTAATTTGCAAAGGATCGTGGCCCTGTGAGCGCGGACGCAGCGTACATTATTCTACAGGCTTACGCCATATCCGCCGACCCCTTGTATTCCTTGTGATAGCAGCGCGAAATCGTCAAGCATCGTTAGTCGTTTTCTCTGGTCTTGCAATGTCTGGTCCCTGCAGCGCGGCACGAAGGCAGTTTTGAAGCCACTTGGGGGCATCTGACGGCTTTTTGGGGCACTCTTGGGGCCTCCGTGTGGCTCCCGGGGGCGGAAAGGTAGATGTTCAGAATTTCGTGACAGCACCACTGAAGCGCAAGACATGCAAAGGAGTCCCTGATCTCTGGGATCTCTTGCGGGGCTTCTCGCGGGACTCTTGGAGGCAGTTTCGAAGCAATCGAAAAAAAAAATTAAAACAAAATAAAAAAACAAAGGAAAAAAGAAAAAACGAAAACAAAAAAAAAAAAAAAAAAAACTAAAAACAAAAAAATAGAAAAAAAAAAAAAAAGAAAAAAAAAAAACAAAAAAAAAAAAAAAGAATCGAACAAATCGAAAAAAAAAAAGAAAAAAAAAAAATATTGAAAAAAAAAAAGTCTCTTGGGGGCCGTTTTGGGGCTGTTTTGGTGCCTCTTGGGTTTTTTTGGGGGCCTCTTGGGGGCGTCTTGGGGGTCTCTTGGGGCCTCTTGGGGCCTTCTGCGGCCGTCTTGGGGCGGAAGGCCCAGATTGTCGGTTCGGGCTCCCCTTCTTGGGCCCCTCTTGGGGCCGTCTTGGGGCCCTTTTGGGCCGTCTTTGGAGCCTCTTGGGCTGTCTTAGCGCCCTCTTGGGCCGACTTGGGCGCCTCTTTGGGGCCTCTTGGGCCGTCTTGGGGCGGTCTTGAAGTGCTCTTGGACCGTTGTCTGCGCCGTGAAGGCCGACAAGTCAAATATGATGAACATGTACGTTTTCCCATAGGAAATTGACGATTTTCGGCTCGTCGGTGCCCTTTTGCAGACTGCTCTTGGAGGCCTTTTGGGCTGTCTTAGAGACGTCTTGGCTCGTCTTCGGGCCATCTTGGGCGTCTTGGAGCGCTCGTTTGGCGTCTCGGGGCCCTCGTGGGCCGTCTTGGAAGCGTCTGGAAGCCTTCTTGGCTCGTCTGGAGCCCCCTTTGGGTCCGAAGAAGCCCCGTGGCGCGCTCGTGGCCCTGTGAGCGCGGACGCAGCGTACATTACTTAGGAGGGTTGCCCTTGGAGTGCGGGCGCAGCGTAATTTACGAGGGGTCGGGGCTCTGGGAGCGCGACCCCAGTGTAATCTACGATGGATCGGGGCCCTTGGAGCGCGGGTGCAGTGTGAATTGGTAAGGTTCGTGACCCTAGGAATGCGGACGCAGCGTAATTTATGAGGGGTCGTGACAGCTGGAGCGGGGGCGCAGCGTGGTCTTGGACCTCGTCTCGGTTGGTACTGCTTCGGTTCGTCCTGTCTCAGTTAGTCGTGTCTCGGTGTGCCGCGTTTCGGTCCGTCCTTGCTCGGTGCGTTCCGTCTTTCTTTGGATTCGCCCCCTCTCGGTTCGTCGCGTTTCATAATTGAGTCGGAACTTGAGCTCGGCAGCACGGCACAGCGCGGCGCAGGACAGCGCGCATTGTTGGCACGTCTATTTCGTTGGGTGGTTCGTGGGATGTTTCGTGGAGTGTTTCGTGGGGTGTTTCGTGGAGTGTTTCGTTTGGTGATTCGTGGGGTGTTTCGTGGCTGTTCGTTGGGTGTTTCGTCAAGTGTTTCCTAGCGTGCTTCGTTGAGTGTTTCTTGGGGTGTGTCGCTGGGTGCTTCGTAGGTCGTTTCGTGGGCTGTTTCGCGTTTCGTTTCGTCCAGCATTTCTCAGCACGGTACAGCGCAGCGCAGCTTCTGGCACGGTGCCATCACCATCGATATGTTCATCATTGCTACTGCCCATCGCCCAATCCAGGTGTCTCGAAACGTTTCCATGCTTCAAATGTCTATATCCTTTTCCGGGTTCGTGGGTCCAGCATGTTCGTCGTCTTTGGCTTCTAGGGGCCATTTTCGGGCCGCAGGATCGTCAGAAGCGGACCCTTCCTCCTCCTCCTCCTCCTCCTCCTCCTCCTCCTCCTCCTCCTCCTCCTCATGCTCTTCCTCGTCCTGCTGCTCCTCCTCCCTCCAATCAAAAGCACGTACATGCGCACACGCGCGCACACGCGCGCGAGTATATTATGTTGCCCGGCGCATCTACTCCTTGCTTTCGATTTGTTCATTTCTGTCTTGGCGTTCACATTTTTTTTGTTCTGACAGTAAGCTTCTGCACAAGCTTCGTTTCGAGGAAATGTCTGACCGCTGCTCATTTCCTCCTCCCATCTTCCTCACAGTTTTCCCTTCTGATCTGCCTGACGTTTTGAGAAGTTCACGATGTCGGCCTGGAGAAGTCGATGCAGGGAGGATGATGATAACACGCCTCTCGTTGAAAGTAGGTATTTTTGGATTCCCGGGATCCCAAAATCTGCTTCAAGCGCCTTCCTGCTTCAAGAATCGATATGCGCTTGCTGTGTTCTGTTATTCTCTGGAAGGGCCGGAGCCCAATCTACTCTTATCCGCCTTCCTTCTTCATGTTTTATCTACTTCTTCCGACCGCCGCCGCCGCCAACGACGACGATGACGACGATGACGACGACGACGACGACGACGACGACGACGACGACGACGACGACGACGACGACGACGACGACGACGACGACGACGTTCCGCCTCCAAATTCGCCGAGGCGCTCCCGAATCAAGGCCCCAAGCTGGCCGCAACAGGCCGCCTCGAGCCGCCGAAGGCCGCTTCGAAGCCGCCGCCGCCGACGACGCCGCCGCCGCCGCCTCCGCCGCCGACGGCGACGACGACGACGCCGAAACAGCGTCCTTCTGAGAAGCAGCGTCCCCCATGGAAGCCTTCCCCCTCCCCCTACCTCCCTGTGCGCCCCGCCAAGACCAGAGGAAGAAAGAGAGACAGAGAGAGGGCAGCGAGACACCGCACGAGTTTTGCAGCTACGTGTCAGAGTTGCTCTGCCGTCTGCTGCCGGTCTTGGGGTCCAGCTCTGCGCGGTTGTGCACCCTCACGCCTGGCAGACAATCTTCTGGGCCAAAACGGCCTACGGAAGGTGGCAGCAATGGTATTACACCCAGCTTCGGCAGGATCGCGTCCTGTCGACTCGCCGCGACCTCGCCGCGAGCGTTCAAGGTCGAGCGTTCAAGGTGAGCGTTCCAGAATCAGCCAATATGGAACGGTCTGGGGATCGGAAATCCGCCGATCGTTCAGCGTTGAACGATCCACGTGGTGTCAGAAACCAGCGCCGAGGTCGTCACGAGAAGAACCTGCGGTACCCCAGCCTGACTCCGCATTCAAATTCGGGCTGATGTGTCCTCTGCACACCTTTTTTCAAAAGTGTACTCAGTAGTTTGTGCAATCGTTCGTACTGGATTGTGCTGGATGCGGGCAGAATGCGCTGCATTTGGCATCGCTGGTCCGTGAGGGGCCATGCGCCATGAGCCACAGGACGAGCTGTTGCATTTGTTTGTTTGCGAGCCCATTTCGAAAGACCTCCTTTGCCCAGGACCAATGCATGCATTGATGAGCTCGGGGCTCGAGAGACGGGGGTCCATACAAACGGGGGTCAGTCAGAGCGCCGGATCTTGCAGGATTGTGGCGTGCCAGGGGCACATTGACCCAGGCTTTCGTGTAGGATCCTGCAGGATCCTGCGAAGCCCGACTGACTTGGGTTTGGATTGGACCAGGACGCATGCGCAGTTCGACAGTTTCCCATTCCAATTGTAAGTGCAACTTGTATGTAAGCTCCCGCGCGGGCTCACGGCTAGCAGCTTGCATTCAGCATCCAGATTTCCCACGCAGAATCGGCACGCAAAGTCTCGTTATGATCAGACGACACCACACCATATGATGTACATTTACATGTATGTTTATGTATGTATACACATATGCATATATATATATATATATATATATATAGATATACACACATTTTTTATATTATATATAGATGTGCATATATAATATTATTTCTTAATCGCGCATGGCCGCGAGAAGTTCTGGTTCAGGGCTCGGAAGAACGGGCTTGAAGTGGCCCAGGTCAGTAGATCCCCGATGTGCCCGCTCCTCGTCCGCCTCGCCCCGGCGTGGAGGCACCCTGGAGGAGGCCCGGGTCTGCCTCGCCTGCGGCTTCGAGAAGGCGGGGCGCCTCTTCCGCCCCGCTCGGGGCAGCGCTCCGTCGGCGCCTCCTCGCCTGCTCTCGGCGCCCCCCGAGGCCCAACTCCAGCGGGGAGGGTGGGGTTCACTCCGCTCGGGAGCTCCACGAACGAGGTGGGCCCCACCTCCCCCCTGGACTTGGCAGAGGGCCGCCAGCACTGGCACTGGCGGCGGCGGGCACGCGGCCACCGCGGGCGGCATGGCAGCGAGGAGGGCCCTTGCGGCCACCCGCCGAGGAGTCGCGGGGACTCAGGGGGGGACGTGGGCCCAGGAGGGGGCGGGAGGAAGGAGGCAGGAGGATCAAGGATGGGAGGCAGGAGGAGGCAGGAGGAGGGAGGCAGGAGGGCCGAGGATCGAGGAGGGTCGAGGAGGATGGAGGACCGAGGGCCGAGGAGGGTCGAAGAGGATCGCGTGTGGCCTCCTACACAGCTGGCCCGCGCGGCGGTCGGCGGGCGAGGGGGCCCAGGCAGCGCCCGCCGACTGCGGGCTCCCCCCCTCGCGCCAGGTGGCAGGACCTCAGAGGAGCCTACAGCACGCGTGCACGCCGAGGAGGAGGAGGAGGAAGGAGGAGGAGGAGGAGGCGGAGGAGGAGGAGGAGGAGGAGGAGGAGGAGGAGGAGGAGGAGGAGGAGGACGCGGAGAAGGAGGAGGAGGCGGAGGAGGAGGAGGAGGACGACGGGGGAGGAGGGGGAGGGGGATGGGGAAGGGGGGGGGAGGAGATCAACTACGGAATTGATTCACCCCGTAAATGATTTCCTCCTCGCCCTCCTCCTCGCCCTCCTCCTCGCCTTCGTCCTCCTCCCCCTCGTCGTCCTCCCCCCCCTTCGCCGCCGCCGTCGTCGCTGTCGGTGTCTGCACGGCGTCTTCTTGTTTCGCAGCCGCGCCTCCGGCAGCGGAACTTGCTGTTTCACGTATTTGCCAACGCACCTCTGACGTGCACGGCGCTTCTCTCTCTCTCTCTCATAAATTATTTCCCGTCGAATCCACGAACGAATGCGCAGAATGCTTCGTAGATCTGAGGGGTACATTCTACGTACTTTGTCGTAGGCTCGACGCGACGAAGTCAAGTCTGGGGTGAATCAATTCTGTAGTCGATCCCCTGCTCGAACATGTACGCGGTCAGCTTCCGCTGGCATGCGTTTGGACGCGGTAGCTCGTCCACGCGGGGCTGCGGAGGGCGCACACGTACATGTGTCCTTGCTCGCTCAGGACACCCTCTCCCCTCCCGCCCGGATGTCGGGGTCGTCGCCAACGCCGTCGCCGCTGGGGCCGTCGCCGCCGTCGGGGACGCCGAGGCGCCGACGGAGTCGTCGCCGAATCGGAAAATCGAATCGGCCCTCCTCCTTCTCTCCTCCTGCTCCTCCTCCTCCTCTTCCTCCTCATCCTCCCTGCCTCCTCCTCCGCCTCCTCCTCCTCCTCCTCCTCCTCTCCCTCCCCCTCGCCTGTGGCAGGACCCCCCCCGCCCGCCCGCCGCGGTGCCCCCGCCAAAGGTGGACCGCGAGCCCGGCAGGCAGGCGTTCCGCTGCCTCTCGCTGGAGCTGCCGCAGGCGCGGCCCCCCCCTCGGGCGGGCACGGACGTCTAATACGCACAGCTTCTCTTGCGGGCTGCGGGAGGGAGAAGCGACACCACCACCACCACCACCACCACCACCGCCGCCACCACCACCACCACCACCACCACCACCACCACCACCACCACCACCACCACCACCACCACCACCACCACCACCACCACCACCACCACCACCACCACCACCCCCACCACCACCACCACCACCACCACCACCACCACCACCACCACCACCACCACCACCACCACCACCACCACCACCACCACCACCACCACCACCACCAGGAGGGCCAGCTCCAGCGAGGAGGCCCATGATTTGAGGAGGAAAAGGTACCCACACCTCTACCCTTCGCCCGTTTCCCCCTCTTTGGGCCTCCTGGGAGGCCCTTGTCGCCACCGCTGGATTCGCCTCGAAATCCTGGTCAGAACGCACTCCGTGAGGTCCTGGGAGAAGCGGTATGGGTACCTTGTGGTTTCCCCAGGAGAAGCGACACCACCACCACGACCACCAGGGGGCCAGCTCAAGCGAGGAGGCCCACGATTCGAAGAAGAAACAAAAACGGCATAAACAACTGTTTGGCGCTCCGCGTGGATTTCTTGGATCTGCGCTGGGCCCCCCTTGCGGCGCCTCCGGCGCCGCCCTTGGCGCGTTTCGCGACCCGGAGAGGGGATTCTGGCCCAGATCCAAGAAATCCGCGCGCAGCGCCAAAAGTTTATGGTTATGGCGTTATTTCTTCTTCTAGGGAAGGAGAAACGACACCACCACCACGGCCACCAGGGGGGGCCAGCTCCAGCGAGGAGGCCCATGATGCATGATGCCTCTCCGAGCTGGGGATCTGGGATGTCTCGAGCGAGAGGGGGGGACCACGCTACCAGGGACCCCACCGCACAGGCGCGCGAACGCCCCAGGGGTCCGTTCCCGTTCCTGTTCCCGTTCCCGTTCCCGTTCCCGTTCTCGTTCCCGTTCCCGTTCCCGTTCCCGTTCCCGTTCCTGCCGCCCGTGCCATTTCCAGAGGATAGAAGGGGAGGAGGGAGGGAGGGAGAAGGGAGGAGGGAGGAGGAGTGAGGGAGGGACAGATGGGAGGGAGGAGGGAGGAGGGAGGAGGATAGAGAAGGAGGGAAGGAGGGAGAAGGGAGGAGGAGAGAGGAGGGAGGGAGGGAGGAGTGAGGAGGAGGGAGAAGGAGGGAGGAGTGAGGAGGAGGAGGGAGAAGGAGGGAGGAGTGAGGAGGAGGGAGAAGGATCATCGTCATCATGATCATCAGCAGCAGCAACATCATCATCACCATCATCATCAGCATCATCATCGACATCATCATCACCATCATCCCCAGCATCAGCATCATCATTAGCATCATCATCACCACAATTATCAGCATGATCACTACAACAACCACCCAAACCGTAAGCATCAGCAATATCATCCTGAACACCATTATCATTATCATCATACTCAGCACGTTCATCATAATCATCATCATCAGCATCATCCTCCTCCTCCTCCTCATCATCTTCTTCTTCTTAATCAACTTCATCGGTCATCATCATCATCATCATCATCATCAACATCATCATCATCATCATCATCACCGTCATCATCGTGGTCATCGCCATCATCATTATCCATATCATCATCGCCATCATCATCATCCTCATGATCCTCCTCCTCCTCCTCCTCATCATCAGCATCATCATCATCATCGTCATCGTCATCGTCATCGTCATCGTCAACAACGTCAGCATCGTCAACGTCGTCATCCTCCCCCTTTGCCCCCTTCTTCCCTTTCCCTCTCAGCCCACCTCACCTTCTCTCTCTCTCCCCATCCCCTTCCCCCCCCCTCTCCCCTTCCCAATCCCTTTCCCCCTTCCCAATCCCCTTCCCCCTCCCTATCCCCTTCGCCTACGGCGATGATTTGCCGTAGGCGTCTGACAGATACCTTCCGAGACCGCCAGCGCACTCCCAGGAGACCCCCAAGACATCCCCCCTGACGCACCCAATAAGCCCCCAACGGGCCCCAAGAAACCTGAAACATATTTCTAAGAGGCCCCCGCGAGGCCTCCCAGGAGAGCCCAACAAGCCTCCAAGCGTCCGCGGCCTTTCTGGGGCCCCCCTCTTGATCCCCCTTTCAGGGTGGAAGGGACCTGCAATTATTGATGTTCTTAGGGCTTTTGCAAGATTTGGGGATATGCAGTTCTTCGATCCCGGTCCCAGGGACCCCCTGGACGCGAGAGAAAGAGAGAGAGAGAGAGAGAACGGGAAGGGGAGAGAAAGAGAGAGAGAGAGAGAGAGACAGAAAGAGAGAGGGCGAGAGAGAGAGAGAGAGAAAGAGAGATAGAGATAGAGATAGAGATAGAGATAGAGAGAGAGAGAGAGAACAAGATAGAGAGAGAGAGAGAGAGAGAGCGGGAACGGGAACAGGAACGGACCCCTGGGGCGTTCACTTTTTTTACGGGGACCCCCTGGCTCCTCCTGCCGGAGGTCCCTGGTGGTGGTGGTTTCGTTTTCCTTGTTCCTATGCGGGGGGGGCGGCCTTTGTGGGTACATAAATGGCAAGTGCATCCTCCTCGGCCGCCGGGGGAGGGAGCGGGTTTGAGTGGGGGACTGCTAGAGAAGCGGGTCGGGAGAGGGGAGGTGAGGGAGGGAAATGGGGTGAATAAGACAGAAGGTGAGGGGAGGGAATGGGGAGAGGGCAAAGGAGGAAGGGGAGGGACGGCATGACGGCATGGCTTGCTGTATGGCGCAGTAGCTGGTCGGACAATGTCGTGGCACAGCATGGCATGGCACGGCATCCTCATGGCAGCTGTGCCATGCGAGGCGCGCGTGCCATGCGCTGCACGGCACGCTTTGTACGAATGGCACTGCACGGTACGTCAGGTGGATCCAGGTTTCGCAGTTTGGAACCTCATAGGGTACGGGAGCATCCTCTGCCTGACCGCAGCGAGGTACGCGTCCCCCAAAACAGAACCCGTGCGGACCGTGGGGTCAGAGGCATACAGTCAACCCGCTTAGTAAGGATGGGGAACCCTGCCAAGGGTATCCTTGCATCCTCGCCTCCTCGGTCCACCGTTGGCCACTTTCGCTGGCCGCGCCCCGCTCGCAATGTGTCGACATGGCCTTCCAAGGAATTGCATTCTTGCAGCGCATCGTGACTATACGGGTTGACTGTATGGCCAGGCGAACACCACGGCGTCAGGCCAGTGATGGCAGAACTACGTGGGGCAGGCGCAGCGGAAACAAGGCCTGGCCCATCTGGCGTTGGATGCGCGTCCAGTGTCCAGGGCAGCGCGTTTGTGTGGATGTCGGATGTAGTGCTCTGCCAATTGCTTGATTCGAGGGCGCGCACGCCCAGCATAGATGCGTGCGACACAGCGGGCACGGCACCGCCTGCGCTGCGTGTTGTCCGTGCCAAAAATATGCGACAGTTGCTAGCAAATTCAGCCTGATTACTTTGGACGGAGGAGGAGGAGGATGAGGAGGAGGAGGAGGAGGAGGAGGGAGGAGGGAGGAGGGAGGAAGGAGGAGGGAGGAGGGAGGAGGGAGAAGGGAGAAGGGAGAATGGGGGAAGGGAGAAGGGAGAAGGGAGAAGGGAGAAGGGATAAGGGAGGAGGGAGGGAGTAGTAGTAGTAGTAGTAGTAGTAGTCGTAGTAGTAGTAGAAGAAGAAGTAGTAGTTGTAGTCGTAGTCGTAGTAGTAGTAGTAGCAGCAGTAGTAGTAGTAGTAGTAGTAGTAGTAGAAGAAGAAGAAGTAGTAGTAATAGTAGTAGTAGTAGTAGGAGGAGGAGAAGAAGGAGGATGAGGATGATAATGAGGACCAGTGTAAACCCAAGAGTCATCAACAATGTTGGAATCCACCCTCCCTCCAAGCTCCCTTTTCATAGGCCCCTGCAAGGGCTCATGTCCACTGAGAGAATTGCCTCGTTGGAAGACGACCGTTTTAAGACCTTGATGCATGCCAAAACATCGTTCTCGGGATTCCAACGCCACGGATAATCCCGACTGTTGCGTCTTGACAATCCTGAATCGTGCCAGAACACCATTCTTGAGACTTCAACTCAGCGAGCCAACATAATTGCTGCACCCGCATAAATCCTGAACCCTTTCAAACACCATCTCTGACACGTTGATGATGGGAGTCCGTGAAACTCTGGCACATGTTTAAAACGTGTATGCGCCGCGCTAACGCGAGAGCCACATGTTGAAAAGGAGCCGCCCTCGATCCGTGAAGCTCTTGCAGTTTTTCGCAGGAAGGGCGGGGGCCCAGGGTTCTCTTTAAGCTGGTTCCCCCCTAGTTTTGACTTGAAGAGGGCCGGCTGATTTCCGCTCGATGAACAACGAGGTGAAGTCCAATTCGGCGTGAACAAATGCGTTTCGCACGTGCCCGCTCGAGGAAAGTCGACACCCACCTCGGATCCTCGATAAATAACGGAGTCCGCAGACCACCGTTCTCCTTCGTGAAAAAGAGGGTGCGGGGCATTTTTAGCAGAATCAATGAAGAAATCCGAGGTCTGGAGCCCCGACCGCGATGCGGAAAAGCGTCCCGCGCGCAGGAATTCCGAGGATGTCTCGCGCGTGCCGCGTCCCGCGCGAAGGAATTTCGAGGATGTCTCGACTAGTTCGTTTGTTTTTCCAGGATTTCCTTGGATCTTGACAGGATGTCTCGAGCGAAACGCTTGTTTTTCATAATTTGTTGAGGATGTCTCCGGCGAAACGCTGGTTTCGCAAAATTGGAGGATGTCTGGAGCGGGGGCCTCGTGGGGGGGCCAGAATTCAGAGGATGTCTCAGGCGAAATGCTTGTTTTCACGTCCCGCTCGCAGGAATTCCGAGGATGTCTCGCGCGTGCCGTGTTCCGCGCGCATGAATTTCGAGGATGTCTCGACTAACTCGTTTGTTTTTCAAGGATTCTTTTGGATTTTGGCAGAAAGTCTAGAGCGAGGCGCTTAAATTGGGGGACGTCTCGAGCGGCTTCATGGGGGGCCAGA